CTGCAGAACGGCTTCTCACAGTCGCTCTAAACGTGAAAATAAATCTCTCGAGTCTTAGGAAGCAACTCTAATCTAAGGATCTTGTGATATACTATATTTTTTGTTGTGTTGCCAGCCTCAAGAATGAACAAAGTGGATGGTTTGCTTACACGTCAACGTACTAGGTACAATTAACCATGAGAGAAACAATTATTTTCTATATTTAGTCTACAAATATTCAATACCTTCGATTTCGTTTAAATTCGAACACCTCGAATGAGAACTTCCTGATGCTTAAATTTTGTTTTGGTCTTAGTTGATTCAGATTTATAATTATGATGACAAACTAATCAACTTTTAGTTGTAAATTGTGCAGTTGTTTAAGTCATCTATATCATTGTTCCTTGCTGTTAAAAGTATTCTTTCACTAAACAATTGTAATTTTTGTGTTTAGCGATGACGTACCTACCCTTTATTAATGAGCTTGTCATTCGTTGAGACGAAATGGCAAAAATTAAGCGAACACGAAATCAAACCATCTGATTCGTCGACAGGAATACGGTCATTACAGACAGCCAGCAATTGCTAGGAGAAGTTTTCGACAGCAAGATTGTTTAGCAATGCAATTATCTTTTTTGTTGTGAGCTAGTATCATATTGTGGGTTCTATTTTGGGTATAATGGTTCGAACTAGATGGTTCAATTCATCTCGATCATATTCACTTTTACTTTCCAATTCTCCATTGAAGTGGGCCACTCAATTCACGATTTGGCGACGGCATTCCTAACTTGACTGAGAAACTGGTGTACATGAGGTATTAAATATCTTCGATCAAAAGCAAATCCTGTTTATATGTCTCCACATTCACTTCTAGATCGGGATTCCATAGAAGAATGTCCCGTCACATAAATCGCATGTTATCATGTAAACAATTAGTGACTTACAGTTTGAATTACTCGAAAAAACCCCCCTTATTCCCCAAATCTGGATCCGTCAAACTATAACGAAACATATTCAATTGAAAAAATTCTACAAGTTCATGAATTTTCTTCAAGCGACAAGGTGATACAAGCTGTGGTGACTTGCTGTGCAGAGCAGAATAAAAAATTTTCTAAAGGGTTTAGCGACGTTGCGGGTGTATATAAAATACTGTCGACTTTCAAAGTTTGTTCGCTTCTACACAATACATCCTCGAATGTTAAAAAGAAGAATATACTTACAGTATGATGTAAAGTAGAAAATTTCATGGTTTGGATTTAGGTTTATATATTCTAACTTGCCTGTATCAGACAGATATGTAACTCTAAATGTGTCTCGAGTATAATTTTACTCATCGGACAAAATCCTTGAGATGAACTATACATAAAAATCTATACCTAATCCTCTGTAAAGGTTAACTACACACCACGCGCACTTATGTTACTTCCTCATGCAAATGTTTAAGATAAATCTAAATAAAAACACACATAAAGCGCCTTAGGGGATATGTATCTAATTAATAAATGGTCTGCATCTAATTAGTATTTTATAAACAGAAATCATGACAAACATGTTAAATTTAGAGCTGCAAAAATTTGCGTTTCCGCTAAAATTTAAATCCCATGCATGTTTAAATAAAATCAGACAGATAAAAATCAGCTCTGTAAGCTGGATAAACATGAACAGAGACCCATTGTCATACGCAAATTTCCAATAAAATGCCAAAGGCTCTACTTTATTGAATCTTTATTCCTTAATATATTATGATAATAATGACGGTGTTGACTTTTAGGTTAGTTATGATTTTTTTTTATTTAGAAAAATCATACAATTCACATCAACCACGCAGGGTTATTAGTGATACTGAAAATATAGTCCGTCTAGAAAGTATCCGGAAAAAAGAAAGCAGAATTATAATTTTACGGTATTTATTTCTCTCACTTGAAATATTAAATTTCAACAAATAATTCATCTTATTTACTTATACAACCTCCATTTAAATCTAAACACTTTACTAAACGTCCAGGTACACCCGAAACTAGGTCAAGGCCATAATTTTCGATAATGGTGTTCTTGGCCTGTAAAACTGACCCAATTAAATCTTCTTTATCTTGCGGCGCTACTCGTTCCACATCAATTTTCATCAGTCCCCATATGTTTTCAATGAGGCTAAGATCTGGAGATGCAGCTGGCCACGGAATTGTTTTTAATTCGTCTTCTTGCATCCAAACGTGAGTATAAGCAGAAGTATGACGTCTTTCATTATCTTGCTGAAAACGCCACCCCTCTAGATATAAAACATGATTTGTTTCTAGAAGAAAACCATTTAGGATGTCAAAATATTTCGCACTATCAACAGTACCATTAACTATACAGAGAGATGTAGCACCACGCTTAGATATTGCTCCCCAAACCATTATTTTAGTGCGAAATTTGGAAATTTGAACGGTAACATTTTCTCTTGATAGTACTTTTAGATGATTTGCACAAAGCTGGAAACAACTTTCATCAGATATAAAGACATTAAAATTATCTTTTCGAAAACGAATACAAAAATCTATTCTTCGTTGCCTTTGCAGAGGTGTCATTGTAGGGATTTTTTTGGATTTCCTTGATATGTAGCCTTGCTTTTTTAGTGACATGTGAACAGTTTTTGGGCATACTCTTATTCTTCGTTGATTTCCAAATCTGTTCACTAATTTTCGAAACCCTAGGCGCGGATTTTGTCGTCCTAAAGCCACTAAAGCATTTAAATTGTTTTTAATAGTTATTTTTAATAGTTAAATAGTTAACGCGCGAATTTTACGCGTTCTACACGAAACTGGTCTATGTCTCATATCTATGCCATTTTTTATCCTCTTTATTGTCTCATCCAATGCACTTTTTACGAGTTCAGTCAATTGCACTAATTTTTTAACGTTTCGGACACCCTTTCTATACAAATATTCCACCACTTTTCATTTTTCTACTTGCGACATTATTTCACAAATCTTAAGTCTGTTTACAAACAACAATATTTGATAGATGGTGTTGTCATATGATTTTGTCCATAACCTACTATCGGCACAACCTACTTGATGCATGACTTTTGGCTTAAAATGTAACAAAAAGAAAATCTATTAAAATTAGGAAAAATATAAAATTCCGGATACTTTCTAGACGGACTATATATTCAAGGCTATTTTGTACATAAGCATTTCTTATCTAATGTATGTTTCTATTTTATTTGTAAAAATTTCAGCTTTTTAAAATTTTTGAAGGCAAGAAACCATTAAACTTTAGTCAACAAAAAACAAAAAGTCAACTTTATTTTTTTTAATTATCATTATTAATAATAATATAGGCCGAATCCGACGGTCACTTGTTATAAAAGACGACGTCTGTATGTATGCCCAACAGGTGATTCTTTGGGCCCAATTCCCTTCGATCGATCCAATGTTTTAACCTTATTTAGGCTATTGTTTCTTCAAAAAAATGGGTATTCCTTTTTTTCCGGAGCAAGGGGGTGTGGTAAACGTGATGGCGAATGCTTGTGGAGATGTAGAGGTGGATTGCTAAAAAACTGGGGTTCAGAAGGTGGCATGTGTGATATGGACGATATGATGAAGCGCACAAGAAGAATTGTTGGTGAAGAAGGCCAAGAAGTCGAAGGGAGGTACTTCAAGGGGTTACCAGCCATACTGGGAACGACTCTTAATCAACGTTTTTGGCTTGCAGTTGTTAGCTGCGATGTTTGATGGCGAATGATTCTAAAATATCAAAATACTCATCAGGAAGTTCGTTTCCAGTGTTGTATAGAAGTTTAGCTGGAGGAAATATAACTTTTCTTTTATGAACCCTGGTGAGTATTTGCTCGGCATGAGTCTTTAATATTTGCTTAGTTTGGTTGTTCGAGTCTGTAATAGTTCGAAGGACATACCTCCTGCTGAGGCAAAGGATTCTGTCATTAATCGGTGTTAAATTGGCTAGCTGATGTATGTGTGCTGATGGATAGTATCTACACTTCCTCATGCAGAAGCTAAGGATTTTCTTTTTCAGTGGCCATGATGGTGTTAATTTGGCGGCTATTATGTGATGCGTAGACGCATGCCTTGTATTCGATTAGCGGTCTTATAAAGGTTTTGTAGGTGAGCAATAATGTTTTAGGTGACGCCCTGCTCATTTTACCGAACAGCGTTGTCAGGAGTTTAAACCTCCTTCTTACTCTGTCTAGGGTGTCTTGAATGTCGGTTTTCCAGTTGAGAGTCCTGCTAAAATCAACTCCCGAATAGGAAACCTACCAATTCCCTTTTCAAATCCTAAAATATATCAAGTAATACAAATGTAAAGCTTTACAAAGCAATAACACGCCTAATCCTAATGTGGTGTGAGAAGAATGTGATAAAATCTCAAACTGTAAAGAATATAACAGAAACTAGATATCATAAAATGCATGGATGGAGCAAAATGATCCAGATCCATGATGAGAACAACTATCTTTGATATATCCCTTGGGCAGAGAATAGGAACATCCAGAAAAAGACTCATTAATAATATCGAAAAAGATATTAAAAACATGGGAGTACGTGCTTGACGAAGGAAGGCGTTGGATATGGAAGATTGGAGAAAAATTCTTGAGGAGGCTAGGACCAACAGAGGGTTGTAAAGCCAGAATAATAAATAGTATATAGATAATCGACAATGCTTCCGAATCTAGGATTATAAAATAGCAATTAATCCGTATATCTTGTTACCCATCTTAAATAATAATATTTCTTCTACAGACAAATAAAAAAGCGGTCACATATTTTAACCTTCAGTATATTTTCTGCTAACTGAAATGAAATAGACACGAACGACAAAGCTGCTAAAGCAATAAATAAAATATACCATTCATTTATCTAGCCTAACTACTTTTCAAGTTCCCCTTTAACTCGATATTCACAAAGTAGCAGCATACACAGCAAAGTAACAGCAAAGAATATCGAAATACATAAACAGTTTAAAACATATAAAATATAAGTAAAAATTACGAGGCAGTCAATAACAATCATTTTACTAACCTAGAGACATGTGAGGATGTCCGAAACCGGCAAATGTTCTGCTCCAATGTTGTGCTTGACCCTGTATAATCGCAGTCACCGACATCATGGGTTTCTCTTTCTTCATCATTCTTAACAATTTTATATCACAGACCACTCACAACAATATATCACAAAATATCAAACTAAGGAAAAAAAAAGACAGACAATATTTGCATATCGATAGCAAAAATTAAGAAAAAATGTTGATAACTGATATTAAGTTGTAGGTAGAAGTTCTTTATTAGGTTCTAATAAAAGAATCAAATAAATACTACTAAGTTGTAAACTAATAGCTTTATGCTTGTTTTGTCGACTATCAAATTTATTTTGCAAAACACGACCAATTCACTATATTACTATAGCAGGTACTCTCGGGGCTGGAACTATTATACGAATTCTTTTACGGTGTAATTAACATACAATGTAAAACTTACAAAGTTTCAGCCGCCATTATGGACTTATCATGAACTTAAAAAAAACTGAAATTTTTGGAGTTCAAAGAAGCTCTCTTTGTTCCCAATTCTTAAGGTATCTTTAGATCTCACACTTATTGCACGAAATTTGTGTCACACATAAATTTTTAATCCTCAATGTAAACAGTGAAAAATTCATGGATGATATCATCAAAAGTGTTAAAAAAGGAAGAGAATACATCCTTTTCCAATGTAACATTCTCCTTTTAAACTTATTTGCACCGAACTCATGATGACCGAATAGTCAGAAATACGTATTTGCGGTTGCATTCCTATATATATATATATATATATATATTATATATATATATATATATATATATATATATATATATATATATATATATATATATATAGTTTTATATTTCATTATATATAGTTTTCAACCAGACCCCTAAAATAATTGTTCTGAGATGTAGATAAAGACAGAGGACTACAAAATAATTTATAATACATGATATTAGCTATTTATTTAGACACACGAAACTTCGATTTTACATAGATCTATCTACAATGTATTCAACTGTTTGCTTTTCATTGATTATAGATAATCGATATCATTTTCTAAAACGAGAACAAACCAGTGGACGAAATTCACGCAAACGACACGTAATAGAAAATACTTAATACTCAAGATAATCCTTTGGCTGTATAGCTGCAAACAATGAATAAAATCAACCTAAAAAACAAGGATGTAGGAATTATTAAAAAGCGCAATTAAATACTAAATGCAGGATCAGTTGAGATCTGAAATAAATGACTTAAATAAGAAAAGTACTATAAAAAAATTTCAGAAAATATTGCTGGTAACTTACATTTACTATTAATAAAACATCTCAAAAAGATGGAATGCTTTATGAAAAGTCCCAAACTACACACAATTAAGTTTTAGCATTCGAAAACGAATTAAAAAGAGAAAAATGTTACCGTGTCATAAAAAAACATTAGTTTAACCATTAAAGTTGCAAAGTTGGTGAAAATGGCAACGCATTTCTCTATAGTAGAAATTACGCGAGTTATATGAGAGCTGAGAAAATCAATGTAGAGCCAAGAAAGTCAACAAAGTAGACCACTACATCTAAGTTTTACAATAATCAAAGTATATCACACATCACACTATATTCAGATGAATTAGCACTGATAGCCAGGAAAAATATTATTAATTCAGACATGAAATTCATGTGATACGGCTACATATACATAATCAAGTATTGGAATATAGAAGGATAATTCATTGCCTTAAAAGGACCGAATCAGAAATATCTGAATTCTGCATAACATGAGATTACAGTGAAAAATTCTAACAGCAAACAACGCTTCAAATCACGTATTGAAAAACACGCAAGGATATAAATTAATTAAATTATTTCTACAAGAGACAGCAGGTGAACAGAAGGAAGACAAATCTCCTTCCACTGGAAGGAAGCAAAAACCTTCAAAGTAACTAAGAGACCGGCTAATGGAAAAAAAATGTTTAAATAGAAAACACAACCTGTCGTGTGAGAGGACAATAATAACAATAGAAAGAAGAATATCAAAACTGAGTGGTTAATAAAATTGATTTAATTATTTAGATATAATTTATCTACAAATTTTAATATTTAATTAATTTCAATTCGAAATATAGAATATAATATTAAAATCTCCAAAGTGTTTATATTTTTTCTAACAATAAATAAATATATATCGTCTACCTCGATACTATTACAAATCAAATCGTCAACAACAATATAATTAATATGTATTCATATTTTTTATCTTTTCCTGCATTGTTCACTAATAAAATTAAAAATGAAGTACCCACCACATTGAATTTTTGCTTTAACAATAATATCTAAGTTAATTTTATTGAATATTTTAGTTTTCATTTCGAAGGTTTGTCAAAATAAGCACATTTAAGTAATTACATTTCAAATCACAAAAATATTAAAAAGGATATTATTACATCACAGGATGCAAAAGAGGAAATTAATTTTAAATTTAGATAAAACTGGATTTTTAAATGAGAAAGAGTTTCAATTATAAAAGCAAATAGACAAAATTTGAAATTATGATAAAATATTTTTATTAAAAATAAAAAATAAGATATGATAATAAACCAATACCGCAGATAAAATATTTATCAGACAATATAAAAGGAAGATGTAATAAAAATATTAATAATAGTAAAAACCAATCTATTCAAGACAAAACCGACAATAAGGATCAAAGAACAAAAAAAATTGCGTTTATAAAAGATTACGTGAAAACGCAAAACTTTTTTTATTACTCTGTAGGCGAATTTAGTTAAATCATAAAAAAAATGATATGTAAGATTGTTTTAATCTTGCCCGAAGAACACAGACATATCATTATATATCACTCAGAACACAGATATATCATTCATATGAAAATGATCGTTTTGACAAAGATTTTGAAGGAAAACTGAGATTTCACAGAGAAACAATTTTCAAATAAATAAACGTTGTTATCGACATTTATTCTTAATTTTAGTGCAATCGAATTTGAGTTAACACAAAAATCCATCAAATGCACAAAACAGTAGATTACACACGAACCTTTGGTAAACAAATACCCGTCAAAACAATTGCGACAACTTTTAGATATTTTTTTATCAATTTCCGCAACGGATAAACAACTGCACCCGTTAAGTTACAATCAACAACTTTTAATTTTTTCGAAAGCGAAAACTGTATAATTTATCATTTACGATTTGTCGCACTTTACATCGCGACGCCTTCGGATCTTCTAAAGACTGACGTCGATGTTACAAATGGTTTCACCGCTTCGCGATTTGCGGAACGTCTGATTCTCATTCTCGTTTGTTATATTTCAATTCAAACGCTAAAGATCGGAGTTGGCGTGGTATGATGTGAGTATTCGAGCCGGCGCGGCTCACTCTGATTCACCTGCTACTAGACCAGGAATGTACAGTGTGTTTGCAGGATCGCAGGATTTCTCCGTTTGTTTTTGTAAATAGGTGAAATCATGGACGTATAAATGAAATAAAAGCAGATATTATGGGTGAAAAATGACGTGTATGTAGAAAATATTACATCGCTGTTTTTGGATATTTTATTTAATTAAAAATTTAATAAAAAACCTAGAGAGTAGTTAATAGCGAAGGTATGATAATCAAGATGGAACTGGTTATTGCGAGATATGGAATTTGTGTACCTATGCTAGGAGATAGAAATTAATATCAAGTTCTCCACAAAATTAATAATCATTAATAAGAGGAATACTTTTTAGGGGGCTTTAACTTTTTGAAAAAAATGTAAATAAATTCAATTTTATATGTATATATATATATATATATATATATATATATATATATATATATATATATATATATATATATAGTGTGGTGTGTGTGTGTGAGAGAGTGTGTGTGTGTGAGTGTGCGTGTGTGTATGTGCGTGTGTGTTTGTGTGTTTTGGATGGGTTGGACTCAATAATCTCGAGCTTTCAATTGTGTTACAATCATTTTCAAGAGCTGCTAAAAAATATAAAATATCTTAAATAGTGGAACTAGAAAAAAAAATGTTAACTCACCAAATAAAATTAGTTTGGTTAATAAACTTATGTTTCTAAACATATTTCAAAATACTATTTTAAAAAATTATCTTATCTAATAAATGTTTCTCTTAAATTTTGTAACAAAATTTTGAAAAACTTTTTTAACACAAAAACAATTAAATTTATAAATAAGTTAGAATAGCGACCAATTAAAAATAAGCCAACTTACAATTTTCATTTTTGACAATATGTTGTCAAAAATTAAAATTTTGTTTAAATATTCTTTTTTATTTAGTAATAAAAAAGAAGAACTATTCATCATATTTTATCTCGAGCTTTCAACTGTGCATGCAATTATTTTCAGCAGCTGCTAAAAAATTCAAAATATCTTACAAAGTTGAAATAAAACAAATATAATATATTAACTCACCAAATAAAATTAGTTTGGTTAATAAATTTATGCTGCTAGACATAGTTCAAAATACTATTTTAAAAATTAGTTTATCTAATAAATGTTTCTCTTAAATTTTGTAACATAATTTTGAAAAACTTTTTTAACACAAAAACAAATGAATTTATAAATTTAAGAAATTTAAGTTAGAATAGCGACCAGTTACAAATAAGCCTTAATGTCATGAATGCCAACTTACAATTTTCATTTTTGACAATTACTTATATTGCCAAAAACCAAAATTTTGCTTAAATATTATTTTTTATTTAGTAATAAAAAGAAGATTTATTCATCATTGATGCCTGAAAAAATGTAACAAGTATATGGAAAAATAAATTAAAATGTGATATTTTACTAGTTTTATAAATAAACTATAGAGAAATAATATAATTATATTCCATTCGCTTAGCTCGGGTATTTTTTGACAGATTCATTGTCGGGAACCTACAACACAACAATTCCTACTTCTCAGTATTAATAGCTCAAGTATACTACTATTGCAGACTTCTTTCTTTGAAAAAAAGAAGAATTATTCTAAATAGTGGAAGAGTATACTGAAACTATCAAATTTTGGTTAGTATTACATTTAAAAAATATATTTTAGTTGTTATAATTTAATATAACTATTTATTATATGTGCAGATAAATAAATATTGATTGTCGGTAATTCGCAAAGTTCTA